CTGAATACTAACAAGTTACCATGGGAGTCTAAGCTACCCCTACCAGCTCCCTGAACATCTTTGGGAATGGGCCTGAATTTCCACCAGCATTGCTCCCACTAATGCAGTGTCTGGAGCCATGGCTGCCACAGCCACACTGTGAGTCAGCCTCAAACGTTGCTGTCCGTGGGTTGCCTTCCAGGAGCAGCATCGTTAGTGAGCTTGAGATCCTTCTGCTGCTGCTGCTGCAGCGGCACAATGTAGGCCAGCTTTCGTTGTCTCTACCAATGAGTTTCACGCAGGAGAGGCACCAGGAATTCAGACAGAACTGGGCTGGAGACAGAAGCAGAGGATGAATATGTGATGTATGGCCAGGAAAGCCGATCACCAGATTCCAGCCAGAGAAAGTGACCCCAAGGGAGAGCCGTGCTGTGGAAACCAGCGAGCTGCTGGTACACAGAGGTTTTCAGGAGGGGGGTTCTTCTCCGTAGTTCAGAGCCCACATCACATAATGTTCTGCCCATGGAAGGCTGGGTCTCTTAAGTAATTAAGGGCAATGCTGTAACTTCCTGGGAGTGGAGAAGTGTGGATGGGAGCTCTAGCCAGGAGATCCCGAGGGAGCTGTCTATGCTCTGTCCTCATCTGGAAGGACACACTTACTAATTTATCTGAACTGCTGAGACTAGAAGACCCTTCTCACAATGATCCCGGGGGAGGGGGGAACCGCATCATCCCAGCAAGGATGACTGAGGAGGTCAGAAGAGAGTCCCAATCCCCTGGAGTTGGAGTTCCAGGTGATTGCAAGCTGCTTAACATGGGTGCTAGGAACCAAGTTTGGATCTTCTGCAAGAGTGGTACCTGTTGAACCTTCCCCAGCCTGTTTGTTTGTTTCTTTCATTTTCTGAGTTTCCCTTGGTTCTTTTTTGATATTCTGGTTCCTTGCTAAGCTTCAAGTTACTGTCTTGCTCGTTCACTTTAGTGACTGTCTTGACTAGGTCCTGAATTGATTACATTAGTTTGTTCATCTGCTTATTTGAGGTCATCGATCCTTTTTAAAAGTAGGATTCTGAATTCTTTCTCAAAATCGGTGGAGCACTAAGGACATTTCAAGACAAATACATAAGAAGGCAGTTCATGACAGCTCACCCAGCACTCCAGACAAGTTTGTCAAGAATAGTTAGCTGGGTGGGGAGGTAACATATCTTTAATCCCGGAACTCAGAAGGCAGAGGGAGATAGATCTCTGTGAGTTTTAGGCCAGCCTGGTTAGTTCTAGGACATACAAGGGCACATAATGAGACCTTGTCTTCCTACCTTGAAGGAGTAATATACACTGAGGAAGAAGAAAAACAGTCTCACCCACAAGAACACAGGAGAGTGCATTTGATGAGGGGAATAGATGAACCAAAAAGAGCTGGGAAAGACTCAATCATACCCAGTTCAGCAGACTAGCAAACTTCTATGCTAATGGGGGAAGAAGAAAAGAAATACCAATTGTCCCACCAACCAGAATATCAACTAACAAAATCTCAGGAAACAGGAAACCCTTCTCAATACGAACACGAATGCAAATATCCTCAACTGACAAAATGATGCAGACTAACTGAACCAAAAAGAAAAAAAAAAATCCACCTATCTGTTGTCTCCAAGAAATGCTCTTGCCAACAAAGACATTCAAAAGCAGAGCCGAAGGATAGAAATGAACCTTCCAAACAAAACCGTGAGTAGGTATAGCAGGTCTTGTATATGTTAAAAACAACACCTTCCAGGAGGATGGGACATGGAGCCCCACCAACCAGGTCAGCCTGTGTTCTCCAGGAGAGAGGTAAAGGGAAAAGAAAAAGCAACAAGAAATGTAAGTGGTGCAGGGCAAGAACAGCAGGACTGAGCAACTTAGCAGCCTGCTGAACTAATACTGGGTAATAAGGAAGAATAGGTATGGCAGGAAGGCGTCTGTGAACAAAGAACACGAGGCCTTTCTGGAAGACTCTTGCTGTCCTTCCCCTAGCTCTCAGAAACCTGGCTCACTCCTGGGAGCTCCCCTGCAGCAGATGGTTCTGTTGTCCCCTTGGGGTCTTCCTTTGATGGACCAGGTACAGTGTCTGTGCTTCACAGGTGGAGTCGCGGATGCTGGCCGTTCCTCTGTACATCCCTTTGGGCTTTACATGTCTGCCCTACCTCTGTGAGATTCTTTTCAATCTGTGAGCAGTTCGGAGTCTGTGAGAGAGTTCCTCTGCTTTGGCTCCCAGACTTTGGTCCCTGCGTGGTCTTCTGCCAGCTGACGACCATGCAGTCCTGATGCAATGCTTTCTTTTCACATTCTCACCCTGTGCATGGATGCCCTTCTCACCCTGTTTGAAGTTGGTCTTTCTGGACCTGACCATCCTATCTGTCACATAGACGCCCTCTTTACTGTGTGAGCCGAAGTTCTCAGAAAGAAAGCATCGCCTGTATGGGAGATTCTCTATGGGAGATTCTCTATGGGAGATTCTCCAGGGTGATTGGCTGAACTCACGTGACTGTGGAGATTTGGAATGCTGCAGCCCCAGAACCACATTATCTTGGGATATGTTTTAGAACCCTTATTAATCATGCATTACGCACCTCTGTGTTTTATGTAACATTCTTGTGACTGTTACCTGAACCCTTTGGGAAAGTATTCACCACTAGCTTCCGCCAACTTAGAGGCGGAGAATGTCATCCAACTGCATGCGAGGCCTATAACCCCCCATCACCATAACCTGTCTACTAACATATTTTATTTAATTTTTAACATTTATTTTACAGGTCTGTAGAGGTAGTTCAGAACTTGAGACCACCTGCTGCTCTTCCAGAGGACCCTGGTTCAATTCCTCGCACCCACATGGTAGCTCACAACTGTCTCTAACTCCAGTTCCAGGTTATAGAATGTCTTCTTACCTCAGTGTGAGCTGCACATGGTACACAGACATACACGCAGGCAAAATACCCAGACACATAAGACACTTAAAAATTTTATGTATTTCATATTTGTGAGTATTTTGCCTGCTGAGATATATGTGCATCACACGCATGCCTGGTGCCTCTGGAGGTCAAAAGAGGGTGACAGATCCCCACTCTCTGATCCCCTGAATGGGGTTAAGGATGGTTGTGAAAGGCCATGTGTGTGCTAGGAACCAGCCCCAGTCTTTGGTGAGAGCAACGCATGTGCTTAACCACTGAGCCACCTCTCTAGACCACCAATACATTTAAAAGTGCTTCGGCTTATGTCTCTCCTTTGTTACACAACGATAAGAACTTTACAAAATTGTCGGCCCATTAGGTCACAGCGTTGGAGCTATGACCATATGTTTCCAGATCATTGTCACGCCTATTTGACTCCAGAACCTGTCACTTATTTCCCTTGTGGTGAAAGCTGTGGTTTTGGGTTGACAGTTTTTGGTACTCGAATGTGGGATCCCGAGATCATTCATTTTCATTGGAGAAATTCCCCAAATTGGCACTGGGTACCTTTATGGGCTATTTGTGCCTAACTGTCCGTCACTGCTTTCTTGGGTGGATGTTGGTGAGTTCCTTCTGGGGCGTGGATATTCCTTGTTTGGTAGAGGGTTCATTGGTTTATCTTGAGCTAGTTGTTTGGAAATCATTAAAAATATTTCACAGCACTCATTTTAAGATATTGAATGTTGCCAGGAGGTGGTGGCGCCTGCCTTTAATCCCAGCTCTCATGAGGCAGAGGCAGGCGGATCTCTGTGAGTTTGAGGTCAGCAGCCTGGTCTACAGAGCAAGTTCCAGGACAACCAGAGAAACCCTGTGCTGAAAACAAAACATATCTATATATATATAGAGATAAATATATTTATCTACATCTAGTGTTTGTTGTCCGAGTTTCAAATCTTTTAAGAATGCTTGTTGATATGGTAGCATTTGGCCTTTTTCTTCTGCCACACCTCCAATATCTACTTCTGAGATTTTCTGTGGTTTCTCTTGTTTAATGCATCTTTGCCACATGACTAATGGAGGGCCTGTTCTCCCCTAGCCCCACAGTGTGGTGTTGTGTGCCCTGGAGTGTGCCTGTGTGGGGGCAGGGCACCTGCGCTTCACAGCCTAGCCTGACGAAGAGTATCCTCCTGTTCTTGAGTGGAAAAGAACTGTGTTGACTCAGCAGGGAAGACACGTAAGGGTTAATCACCCAGTGCCTTGAGCCCCTCATGTTCCTGTGAAGATGCAGAACAAGCTCAAGACACTGGGTGTGTGGGGCGCACGTGTGGTGGCTGGTACTTTCAAATGCAGCACGCAGCGTGAGCAAAGACAGTAGATGTCATCCAGGCAGTCTGCCAGAGTCTCCGAGAAATAATCTGGAGAAAACAGAGGAACAGCTGGAAGAGGCGACTGTCACCCAAACCTTTCTTTACCCAGAAAAGCAGGGCAAGGAACTTGACACATCAGAAAAGGAAGTCCACAGCCTATCCCAGGATGCCTTGCTTTCGGGAGCACCTCACTCCCACAAAAAAGGAACACAGATTGAGCCAGAGAGACTTAGAAAATCTGCCCCATTTTACAGTTTACAAAGCTGAAAAGAAGCCAAGGTCAAGGAGATTCTTAGAATGCGATGCCCAGAACCCAGCTGTCCAGCTAAAGAGAATGCTGTGGCTACAGTATTAGTAGTGTTAGCTGGCTGCTTCTTCAGAAATCGTGTTTGCTCCTGGAAGCTCACGAACTCTGCTGGAGAGAGCTGAGAGCTCGGGTTTCAGGACAGACTTCTCTATTGCCTGGTTCCTCTTTTCCTTTCCTTCCTGTTTTTCCCCACTCCCGGTTTCAGTCCACTGCTCACAGTATTTGCATATCCACCCAGAACAGGTTTAATGTGATTCTTTTTTCTGACTGTGGGGATCGGACCTCTCTGTGGCCCAGAGACTTCCACCCCGTGGTTTTAAATTCTCATGAGGCACTTGCCCACTTGGTACCTCTGCACCTTCTCGTTGATGGTGGGGTAATTATCACCATGCTTACTTCTTGTTTATAAGAAAAAGAAAATTACGAATGCCGCGGGTTTTCTGAAGAAAGCAGATCTAGTCTCAGTATGGCTTCACCAAACATTTATACTGACCTGAACTTCAAAACTCAACCTGTTTCCTCAGGCACTATCTTGGACTCATCTTCAGGTAACCATCCCTCCCTCACCTCCATAACAATACAACCTCATTTTCTGGTGGTCTAAGCTGATGGAGACAGAAGACGGGAGTGTTTATGAGGAAGGACTAGGGGATCTTTGCCGCTGGCTGACTGAGTGATGTGTATGGAAACAGGAGGCTCAGCTGCTTGAATTGTCTGTGGAGAGCTTGAAGGGGTTGTTGTGCTGCCTTGTACCATGGAAAGAGTTCACGATACTGTCTTTACCATTGCCATTTAGGGAAAGTCTGAATTCTACTGCATATTTCTGAAGTGTGTAAAACTATACTTTCTCCATGAAAATAAATTCATGTAATCTAAATACTGAAGTTCTTAGTTTTCTACTTATGTGACAACATACTTTAACTTTAAGAAATTAGTTTGTATTTTGGGGGCAGTTTTATCTTGAAGGACAGTTTGAGTGTCCCTTTCTCCATTCATACAAGGGATAGACACAGGACCTCACACGTACGTTACAAGAGTCTATAATATTTCTGGAAGGAATTTTATTTTTTTTAAAACTATTTATTTAGATAGCATGCAAACCAACCGGTTGATTCATTAAGGCATTTGTTACAATCACATCCCTTGTGCGTATCCCTAGCCCTCCTCCACCTTCCCTCTCGTTCTTGTTCATCCCCCTTCCCTTCCTGAAACTTTTCTCTTTCGGCTTTCATGTCGCAGGTTTACATATGTAGCAAGTGTGAAAGCCGCTGTGATACTTTGTCTCTGGGCCCAACTGCTCTGTTGTTCTTTCTCCCTCCCTCTTATACCTCTTCCTCACCCCTCCGTCCCTTTCAACCCAGAAAATGGTTTCTAACCAAGAGATAGTAGCTAAAAAGATAACCTTAGACCATATCTTAAACATGTAAGATATGCTTATACATATAAGAAACAGAGAACTGTTTCTGCATGCTTTAAAGTAATACTGGAAGTAGTTTGGGAGATTGTTTAAATATATGTTGAAGTACTTTGTAGCCAAAATAAAGAATGTTAAAGAAGAAAACATGGCGACGAAAAACCTTCATGATGCAATGTGCAGGAAGATAACAGAGTAGAAATTGTGATTGTGATATGTCGGTCATATGGGGAAATATGCGTGCATGCATACACACTTTAACATTCCATGAAAGGGTATTCGTCTGTACTTACATGCCTCTCAAATATCAATATTAATGAGTTATTGTCAGTGGTAGAAATTTGTGCTTTCATTTTATCCAGTGGACATCATTGTTTTTCTTCTACTCATTTTTAAATGCTGTTTCAAGAGTTTATACTGTTAATATTTCATAGTAGAAAAGAAGAAGATGAGGAAGAGGAAATGACTAAATTCATTACTGATTTAATGAGTTTGGTTTTTCCTTTAGCCCGCCCAAAGAAGACCACCATTCACAAAAGTAATCCTGGCTTTCCCACACTGCCTTTTACCTCGTTCGTGTTTTTCCTGCTGTTGGCAGTCTTATCCTCTGTTTCTCTGAACAGTAAGTATGCCAACAGAGTAAGTAAGCAATGCCCATCTTGCACAAAGAGAGACATACATTCGAAACCGATAATTACCAGTGGTTTTCATGAGAAACCCGAGACAGAAACTTTCTCTGAAGTTGGATGACACTGGGAATTTTGCTCTATTTCAGAATAACTCTTCTGTAAAAGTCATTTGTTTTTTACTAGAGAAGCAAGTGAGTGTTTGTTGGTGACACAGAGTGAAATCCTGGGCATCTGTGTGAGACTCCATTCCTGAGGACGAATCTGTACTTCTTCAGCAGCATTGAATACAGACACTCATCTTTTGGAATGAGTAGAAGGATCAGAAGAGATGACGGATCTATTCCAGGGACAGAGCTCCACTGGAACTCCTAATTATTTATTCCTGATCCACACTATGTAAGATCGAAGCCAATTTAGCAAACAGAGGATTTCTTTATAAGCTTGGCTTTTGGAGTTTATTAAAAAATTAAAAGGCAAGGTCAGGCAAAGTGGCATGCCTTTAATTTAATCCCAAATTCAGGAGGCAGAGGCAGGTCGGTATCTGAGTGAAAACTTGTCTAAAAATAAAAGTGTAAAATTAGTATATTTTGTCTATTTTATCTTTCCCCTCAATAGTTAGTAACATCCATTCACTATGTGCTAGACAGTGGACCCAGAAAGAACAAAATAGCCTCTGTTTTTAAAAAATTCTGAGAGTGGTGAAGTGAAGTAACATTTACAAACGTATCTAGAAAGTATTGTGCAGGCAGGATGTAAGCACAGGGGCTGAGGCAGGCTTGGAGGAGGTGACATTTAGACCTATGTCGGACAGCAGAGTCCTGGAAGCTTGAGAGCATGGGAAAATATGGGGAAGACTAAGTAAGCTTGTCTGGAACACACACACAGTGAAGAAGTGAAACCATAGCTGCTAGACACAGACAGAGCTTACACAACAGGAAAGTGTTGTGTAAGTATTAAAAAAAGTTTGGGTGGGACATAGTGTTGTATGCCTATAATTTTAGCACTTGGGAAACTGAGGCAGGAGGATTGCAAATTCTAGGCCAACCTGGACTACATAGTATGTTCCAGGCCGGTCTGGGTTATACTGTAAGATCCTGTCTCTAAAACAAAACAGGTTTGAAATTTTCCATTAATCATTTTTTCTTTCTTTCCTCCCTCCCCCCTCTTCCCCCTTCTTTCCTTCCTTTTTGTTTTCCAGACAGAGTTTCTCTGTAGCTTTGGAGCCTGTCCTGGAACTGGCTCAGTAGAGCAGGTTGACCTTGACTCAGAGTTCCACCTGTCTCTGCCTCCCGAGTGCTGGGATTTTATTTTATTTTTTATTTTTTGGATTTTCGAGACAGGGTTTCTCCATAGCTTTTGGTTCCTGACTAACTCTTGTAGACCAGGCTGGCCTCGAACTCACAGAGATCCGCCTGCCTCTGCCTCCTGAGTACTGGGACTAAAGGCATGCGTCACCACGGCCGGGCTCCGAGTGCTGGGATTAAAGGTGTGCACCACCACTACCACCTGGCTATTGAACATTTTTTAAAATCTTTTTCACCTCCACAAACAGTTCTATAGTTTCACAGATTAATTCAGCTTTTGTTTGTTCATGCTTCTGTGGCTTGGTGGTTATATTAACATCACCCAGGAGGTTCCTCAGCCCTGTTGAACCCAGCCACCCTCATACATGTGGTCAGGAACATGCCACATAGCTTCTGAGGAAGAGACTGTCACCTGAAATTACAGGAGCAATATGGCCACAGTTCTCTCCTTCATCAGGATAACCCATCTCTGTTCAAAGAACTTAAACACAAAGATGGAGGGTGAGAGCCAGTCATGCCCCTCAAAGTCTCAACTGGGGGGAGGGAGCTGGAGAGATGGCTCAGTGGTTAAGAGCATTCCCTGTTCTTCCAAAGGTTCTGAGTTCAATTCCCAGCAATCACATGGTGGCTCACAACCATCTGTAATGAGGTCTGGTGCCCTCTTCTGGCCAGCAGACATACACACAGACAGAATATTGTATACATATCAAATAAATAAATATTAAAAAAAAAAGTCTCAACTGGGAAGTAGCCAGAGTTGCTTTTGAATGATTGGCTGTCCAGATGAAACACAGGCACAGGGATATTGTTAACATTTTCCCAATGTGTCACATTGGGGAAGCCATTGAAGAATATTAGGCAGGGAGTTGAAAGCGTCAAAGAGACATGCAGAAGTGTGCTGTCAGGCGACATGAAAATGAAATAGAGAAAACTAGAGGTAAAGACACAGGCTAGAAAGAGATTCAGGTGAGCAGAGACGACCCCCGGACAGTGTTCGGAGACTGGTAAGGCAGATAGAGCCCAGGAGGAAGAGGCTTGTTGAACTGGGGCTGAAGGAATCCGGGAAGTGAAGTCTCTCCAACACCTGGACTTGTAGACTCAGTCGTGGTGAAGGTGTTCACACCGGTAGACAATACCGTGCGAGCGAGGTGTGGGCTTAGGATGGAAGATGCTGATTTGGGTTTTGAGCATGTTGGGCCTGTCTTCAAGAGTCATGTTTAGTGAGCACACACTTGTCTGGGTGTCAGGTCTGAGGTTTCCCGTCCTTTTAGGTAGCAGGTGAGACCATGGGATACCCTGCCATCACTTGGGAGGAAGAAAGTATGAGAAGGAAGGATACTGACGGACAGTGGGGAGCGTTGCATCTCTAAGGGGGTGGATGGGGGGAGAGGAGATTATACAAGGCAGTGAGAGGTGACAGCAGGAGAGGTGAGGCAAAGCCCAGCAGTGTCTGAAGAGGTGAGCAGGGAGAGAACTGGGGTCAAGTCCACCAGCAAGGTGGACAGTGAGTGCCCTGGGATATTACTGATAATCCATCTCAATTTTTTTTTTTAAATCACTGCCCCACTTTGTAACCCAGACTGAATCTGAACTTGATACAGTTCAGACTGGCCTGGAATTTGCAATCCTCCTGCCTCCACCTCCCCAGTTTTGGGATGAGAGGTAGGCACCATCATGTTTGCCTACCTCTCAAGGATGGTTTTAGTGAAATGGTAGAAGCAGCAGCCAGGATGTGGTGAGTCAAGGAGCAAATGGGACATAGTGAGGAAAGAGAAAAGCCGAGTTCTAAAGGGTCAGTTAGTTAAAAACAGAACCATGTTCATTGCAAATCACAGACAAAAAGCATTTCCCTCTTTTTTGTTTTAAAATATATTTTCATGGATTGTTTGAGAATTTCATACAATGTGTTCTGATCGTATTCATCCACAGTCTTTCCCCTAATTTCTCCCTGATCCACCACAACTCCCTATCTCCTCAATTTGTGTCTGGGAGTCAACTTTAAGTTGGGATTACGATGCCAGTTTGGTTCATTAACTAAGAGGCAGGTGTGAGGGCTCAGGCCCAGCCCTCTGGAGGAGAGGTGGTGAACTGTGGGTGTGAGACCAGTCTGGGCTACACAGCTAGGCATTGCCTCAAAGAAACAAATGCCGGGTGGTGGTGGCACACACCTTCAATGCCAGCATTCGGGAGGCAGAGGCAGGTGGATCTCTGTGAGTTCAAAGCAAGCCTTCTCTACAAAGCGAGTTCTAGGACAGCCAGAGTTGTTACACAGAGAAACCCTGTCTCGAAAAAACAAATAACCAACCAGTCAAAAAGTGTGTGTGTGTGGGAAGACGTGAGTAAAGAGTAATATTAAAATGCTGCCAGGAAAATGAATATCTTTCATTCTTTTTCCCCCAGTTTTGTTTCAAATGTATTCTGATCTCCTTGAAGAAAAAAATAGTATAAAACAACTGAATCACACAAAATTGGATTGTATAAAAGACCACACATCCGAGGAAGGTAAAAGTTAATGTGCTTGAATCCAGTTGTTGTCAAACACAGAATGTAAGCTCCCTATATAAGTATTTTTGGGTTATACTGAGATGTGGATTATTAGCCATTAGACCTAACAACATAATATTTTGAAGTTCTTATGAGATTTGTCTTTTCTATCCATTTATTATTGTGCCTAATCACGTGTATCTGCATGTACCCACAAATATTTATTTTGTATTATAATTTGATACTTTTGCATTTTCTGCTTTGTGCTTTAGGATCACTTCCCATTTGTCCTTCTGCCCTTTTGATATTTCATTTCAATAATTTGTTTGCTTTCTTACTTCTGGGATTCAGAAAGGCTCTGTCCTAGGCTCACGGTGCATAGTCTCCATTCCTGTCTCAGCCATTTCACTGAGTAGTCCTGGGTCCTTTTACTGAAGAATAGTGTCCTACAAGTGTGGACATTTTGTATTTTCATTTTTGTTCAGCTCAATTTTATTTTGAGATAGAGTCCCATACAACCTAGGCTAACCTCAAACTCCTTATGTAGCTGAAGATGATATTAAACTTTGGATTCTCTGCTTGCACCTCCCTAGGCCTGGGATCTTCAGTGTTCACTGTCACATTTGGTTTTACCATGTGCTGTGGATGGAGCCCAGGGCCTCTTGCTCACCAGGCAAACACTCTAACTGAGACTCATTCCCAGCCCAGTTAAATGTGTTTTAAAGTAGACCTTGATGTTTGGATACCTATATTATTTAGAAGTGTGTTTATTAGTTCTAAGAATTTTTTTGTCTTATCTTGTTTACTGACTTAGATTTCTTTCCATCATGTTGGGAAATGCCCTTTGATGCTCTTCTTGTTTTTTGGAGTGGTCGTCTCTATCTCTGAGGGCCTCATTTCCCCTGCCCACGTATCAGTTACCCTTCACATATCTTGGCCCTATGTTATCTTCTACATACACACTTGGGCTCAGGATATGAGGCTGTATTTATTTTTATGTATTTCATTTTTCTTAAGTTGGTATTTTTTATTATCTTATTTAACAATTCACTGATTTGTCTTCCCCACCCCATTCTGCTATTGGATCTATATATTGTAAGCTGAAAAGGTTATTGAGCAGTTTTTCTGTAGCTGGAGGGTGCTTGTTCATTCCCCAGCTGATGGCGGAAGGTCATTGGCTAATAAAGAAACTGCCTTGGCCCATTTGATAGGCCAGCCTTTAGGTGGGTGGAGTAAACAGAACAGAATGCTGGGAGGAAGAGGAAGTGAGGTAAGATGCCTCAGACAGATGCCATAGCTCTGCTCTCTGAGGCAGATGCGATGAACCTCTGACCCAAGATGGACATAGGCTAGAATCTTCCTGGTAAGTGCACCTCGGTGCTACACACATTAATAGAAATGGGCCAGGCAGTGTTTAAATGAATACAGTTTGTGTGTTGTTATTTCGGGGCATAAGCTAGCCAGGCGGCTGGGAGGAGGGCGGCAGGAATGCAACCCGCAACCCCTTCAACACCCAGCCACTCTTATTCAAAATAATCACACAGAAACTATATTATTTGCAATACTGTTTGGCCAATAGCTTAAGCATATTTCTAGATAGCTCTTACATCTTAAATAACCCATTTATATTATTTTATATCTTAACACAAGGTTCGTGGTTCACTGGCAAGGTTCTAGCGCGTCTGTCTCCTGTGGTGGCTACATGGTGTTTCACCAACTCGGCCTTCTTTCTCCCAGAATTCAGTTTAGTTTTTCCCACCTAGCTTTATTCTGCCCTGTCATAGGCCTGAGCAGCTTCTTTATTCATGAACCAATAAAAGCAACACATATACAGAAGGACTTCCCACATCAGTTTTTCCAGAAAAAATAATTTCCATCTTGATTCTTATTACGTCTGCTTCTTTGCTGGGTTTTCTTTTTCCAAGATGTCTGTATCTTCCCATTGAAGCATTTAAAATTGCGCCTTTTATTTTTTGAGTTTATAATATAATTATATAATTTCCCTCTTCCCCTTCTTCCATCCAAACCCTCCCATATACTCCTCCTTGCTCTTTCAAATTCATAGCATCTTTAAAAAAATTAATTGTTGCTGCATATACACACATATATGTATATATTATATACATGTATACATATATCTATCATTTATCTATATCTATATATCTATATATTTTCTCAAAGGCTCTCTGTTATAGTAATATGAGCGGCGGGGCTGCATCCCCAGCACCCTGGCAGCCTGGCTAGCTTATGCTCCGAAATAACAACATACAAACTGTATTCATTTAATCACTGCTTGGCCCTTTAGCTCTAGCCCTTACAGGCTAATTCTCACATCCCGATCAACCCATCTCTAATAATCTGTGAGCACCGGTCTTACCGGGAAAGGTTCAGCATGTCTAACCTGGCAGCTTGCTTCATTGCGTGCGTCTGCCCGGGAGAGCGGAGCATAACATCTCTCTGAGGTGTCTGCTCCTGAGAGGAGAGCTGTGGAGTCTAAGCTCACTTCCTCTTCCTCCCAGCGTTCTGTTCTGTTTACTCCTCCCACCTATCTTCTAACCAATGAGGGCCAAGCAGTTTCTTTTTATTTAACCAATGACCTTCCTCCATCATTTCCCCTTTTTCGGTTTAAACAAAAAAAAAAAGGCTTTAACTTTAACATAGTAAAATTACATATAACGAAACAGTTATCAAGTAAAAATTACAATAATCTTTATCATAACTAAGGAAAACTATAACTATAACTAACTATTCTTAACTCCATCAAAGACTCCAGAAAGATACAATACTACCTAAGCAAACAAGAAAAAAGCAACTTTTAAAACTCTAGAAATGACAGAGACATCTCGCTGCCTGGACAGTCACCCAAAGTTCCTCTGTACCATTGGGGCATCCATCTTCAGCCTTCAGGCCCATGGTATCCAGCAGACATTTCCATAAAGCAGGAAAATTCAAAGTCAGTTCAGTCACTATCTGTTGTGTCCTGCAGAATGTCTTGCAGACTCTTTCATGAATCAGGAACCCCTAAAGATCATCTCACCTTAGGCAAGTTCAGTAGTCCTCTCTCTGTGGGTTCTCTGTGTCCGGTTTATGCAATAGTCCAGGCAAGAGCAGTTTCTTGCCCAAATGGCTATCAAACTCCATAAGGTGCCTCTTCGATGCCCATCTTCCTCTTGAAGTACTTCTTGCTTTGTTTTGTTAAGTTTGAAAATTCTTTGGTTCTTGGTATGATTAGTTACTTTCTTCTGAGCCTAGGTGTAGGGATAAGTCCCGCCCCTTAGGGGGCATGTTTGCCTCGGGCTAATGTTTGCCTATAAATTTGGCGAGCGTGCTCCCAGCCACTTCTTCTGCTTTCCTGGTCTCGGCGGGAATGGTGGTTCTGTAAGTCTATGTCACCATTAAAGCTGTATATATATTTTTACAATCTGTCTGCATTCGTTTACGCTGTTACATTTTGGCACCCCACGTTGGGCGCCATTCTCTTCTCTTTTGTAATAGGAGCGGCGGGGCTGCGTCCCCGGCACCCGGCCGCCCACATGTCTAGCTCTAGCTTATGCCCCGAAATAATTACATGGAAAACTGTATTCTTTTAAACACTGCTTGGCCCATTATATCTAGCCTTTTCTCGGCTAACTCTCGCACCTGGACTAGCCCATTTCTAATAATCTGTGTAGTCCACGAGCTGGCTTACCAGGAATGATCTTAACCTGTGTCTGCCTGGAGTAGGAGAATCATGGCGACTTACTGACTCAGCTTCTTTCTCCCAGCCTTCTGTTCTGTTTTCTCCACCCACCTATGTTTTAACCTATGAGGGCCAAGCAGTTTCTTTATTGCTTAACCAATGAAATCAACAGATTGATATATGACACTCCCACATCACCTAGGGAGTATTTATGTATGATGCCATATTTAATCACTGTGCTTTGTACTTCAATCTCCTTTCTCCCCAAAGACAAGGTCTGGGGCTGTTGCCCAAAGGACTGGGAGCCATTTAGTTCCCACTGCTACTTCATTCCCACTGATGCTGCATCTTGGAGCAAGAGTGAGGAGAAGTGCTCCAGCATGGGTGCTCATCTGATGGTGGTCCACAGCCCGGAAGAACAGGTGCATGCTGGGAGCGAGTGGGGTCTGGGCCCAGCCTGCTGTCTGCCCTTTTTACTAAGAGGAAGTTTTGTTGACATGGGTGTTGGTGCTGTGGCAGAAGGCTTGCCATCAGGTAGCCAGAAAGGTTGCTTCAGCCTTGGCATTCTACACCTTGCTCCCACTGCCGTGAACTAAACAACCCACAGGAACCATGACAACAGAAATGCAGTGCCTGAGGGTGGAGGGAAGGATGGAATGTTTCTGTTTGAAAGACCCGGTTGTGATTTCACACTCTAAGGCCTCCTGTAGTACCAGCTGCCTAACAGAGGAGGGCGCAGAGCTGACTAGGGAAAGGGGATCCAATCAGGAGAGTCAGAGCCAACCTTCAGAAATGAAATGTCTGCAGTTATGAATGAAGAATGATTAAATCTGTAAAATCCTCTCATGCACAACCTTCAAGAATGGTGTTGGGGAAGAAAAGAGGGGAGTGAGTCTGAGACGAGAATTCATTATGACCATGGACAGAGATTGTTTCTGGTGTCATGGAAATCAGGTCTTTGAGGGATGACTTTGTGTCCTGGTCAGCCGGGGAAGTGGCACTCCCAGGGGTGGGGCTCTTCCAGTCCTTGAACCTTTCTTTGTCTTCTCATCTCTGTGTGACCAGAAAAAGTTCACTCTTAAAATGTGTAATTACTGTGTATTCATCTAAAATTTGAAAACTATTTAAGGGCCTAGAAAGATCAACTAGGATTTGATGATTGTGTATTTGCATATGTGTATCATGAATCTATAATTTTGCATAGTTAAAATAAAATTTAAAAGATCTTATAAAAATTCTGTAACAGAAAAAGAAGCCCTCAATTTGGGCTCAATGCTCTCTTTCTTTCCTCTTAGGATTTCATCACTAAGATCCTGATACGTGATGCTTCGTATTTTATCGGGCTTTCAGATCCAGGTCATCGTCAGTGGCAATGGGTTGATCAGACGCCGTACAATGAAAGTGCCACGTGAGTCTAGAGTTACCCAGAGGAGTCCTGGGTCCTGGGCCATGAGAAAGCTTTAGGGTGTTCCAGCTGTTGGATATGAAACTAAACCAGTGGTGTGGTTGCTGGGGATGGTGCTTTTAGTCAATCATGTATATTTTTAAAAATAGGTTTTATTTTAATTTTTATTTGTGTGTCTCTGTGTGAGTGTGTGCCATGTGTCTGTGTGTGGTCATGGAGCCCATAAGAGGGTGTTGGATCCCCTGGAACTGGGGTCACAGGTCGTATGACCATGCCAATATGAGTGTTGGGAACAGAGCTCTCATATGTTCTGGAAACGCAGCAACCACTCTTAGTTTCTTAGCCATTGCTCCAGCTTTCCTCTATATCATTATAATAAAAATTAATGTCAAGATCATAACTGATTATTTCTCATAAATCAAAAAATCAAATATACACAAAATATGTGTCATATTTATGTAACTATTAATCTTATATGTTCCCATATTCTATCAGATTTCTGTTGTGAGAAATAGATAGTAATGTATTGTTATTCTCAGTTTTCAGAGAAGAGAAAGTAGGAATCCAGGATATTAAACTACTTGTCCTAGATGACAGAGATACGTAGATTATCTAGATATTTACCTAGCTCTCCAGTGTCTAAAATAAGACTTTGTAAAATGAAAAAGCCTTCATTAAGACACTAGAATAAAGAGAGACCCTTTCAGCACATAAATAAGCACATGGAATGACAGTCCCCAGGGTACCAAGACCTAGGGATGAAGTAGCCTCTGGGATGTGTGCTGGGAGAACAGTTAAGTAACAAGCTAAGAGAATATTAAATATGGTGGGCTCCATTTTCCAGGAAAAGGTCAGATGTGGGTGGTGGAGAACGGTTGATTTGTTCACACTAGAATCTGATTTCCACAGATTCCAACCTCATCCCCAGGCTTGCTTACTCTTGCTTTCTCTTTCCCAGAATTACTGTGGAAACACCTGATGCTCTTTCCTCCCTTGCAGGTTCTGGCACCCAGGTGAGCCCAACACTGACCACAAACAATGTGTTATCTTAAGTCATCCTTATACACGTTCTAGCTGGGGCTGGAATGACATCCCTTGCAATAATAAACAGAAGTCAGTTTGTCAGATGAAGAAAATATACTTATGAAAAAGCATATATGGAAAGTCCTTCTTGTGGAAGAGATGTCCACAAAATTTTAGGTAGGCAGCCAACAGTTATACCTATGATAATACTGGTCCTATATACTTATTTATTCATTCATTACTCTTTTATACAATGAGAATTTCCCATATACCAGAGACTATACAGGATCCCCTGTGTGCATATGTGGAATCGCATCAGCTTCTCTGTCTATTCTTAGATTCCTAGAGTCTTATTTGATGATAGAATGGTATGGTGTGGTCCCTCTTCCCATCTCTCTCTCTCTCTCTTTGTTCTTCTGTTATTGGATTTATTGATGTATAATTGACAAATAAATCATGTATATTTGACACTCTCTTGATGTGGAAATGCACTGGGCAATGACTAACTACCACAATCAGGTTGACAACACCCTCTATTATCTAACACAGTTGCCTGTTTTGTGTGTCCATGTGATGTTAGAACATTTAAGATATTCTTAAGCAAGTTCAGACAGACAGGGTGACATTGTACCTATTGTCACTTTTACCCCCAGTGCTTACTCATATTTTCTCTGTCAGTTTGTGTCCTTCCAACAGCATTTTCACATCTCCTAGTACTAGGACCTTGGACCCAATGGCTAGTGTGTGGATAGTATGGGTGCCGTGAGGATGATGGGGGTCACTAATGGTGGCTGATCCTGAACTGGGTGAGATACATTAAGAGCAAATTTAAGAAGATGATAGTCAACCCTTTTACTGTTACACCCTTGGTGCCTGCTGTATTAGGACATCTCTGCCTGTGGATGGACATTGAGGAGACTCTCATGTCCCATGGATCCCTGTATGCTGATTAATACTTTGGAAACCTTTTAAACTTCTTATCATGATCATTTGAAACAGAAGTTGACAGGATGATTGAAGATGGACGCTAACAAGAAATCCCACACTAGCTCAGAATCGAGTATAATAAAGGGTTATTTATTTAGGGGTAGACTCACAGATCACAGTCCTCTGCTCGAACGGGAAACAGCAACTGAATCCAGCAGCTGGAATAGAGAGGGAGCGTGCACACTTTACATCAGCCATGCCAAGTGAGAAGATAACTTAAAGGCTACTGGCTGAAGAATGTCCTACAGCACATGATATCATCAATACTCATATGATGTGGGAGTGTCATATATCAATCTGTTGATTTCATTGGTTAAGCAATAAAGAAACTGCTTGGCCCTCATAGGTTAAAACATAGGTGGGTGGAGTAAACAGAACAGAAGGCTGGGAGAAAGAAGCTGAGTCAGGGAGTCGCCATGATTCTCTTACTCCAGACAGACACAGGTTAAGATCATTCCTGGTAAGCCAGCTCTTGGGCTACATAGATTATTAGAAATGGGCTAGTCCAGGTGCGAGAGTTAGCCGAGAAAAGGCTAGATATAATGGGCCAAGCGGTGTTTAAAAGAATACAGTTTCCGTGTAATTATTTCAAGTAAAGCTAGCCGTGCGGAGCTGGGTGGGAACGCAGCCCACCGCAGCTCCCTCAACACTCATATAACTGCCATCTATAGTTATAGTTGTTGTCATCTTGATAATTTGATATACATATTATATACATATATGTATATACACATATGTATGTGTATATACATATATATGCACATGTTACTTGATAAAGCATTTGAGAGTTAGTTTGATACATAAAACTCCAGAAAATATTTCAGTATATGTCATCTGAAATTGTCATTGCATAACAAAACAATATCATTATCACTCTTGGAAAATTTAACAACTATTTTCTCATATGATGTGTGGCCTTTCCTGTGTTTCCTCAGCCATCCCCAAAATGTTTCTTATGGCTGTTCTAGTAAGCCATAGCCAAAATCATTTCATTTGCTAAATAAAATTATTCTACAAATTCAGGCCATGCCTCTAGAAGACTGTCCTTTTTTCAGACTCAAGCTTCAGGGTCAAGAAGTTCCCAAGGATGCCATTACTTATTGTCATCTGTCTGCAGGGCCCCAGGGTCCCATGAGACCTGCCGATATATAAATTGCTAAGATCACCCACTGAACTAATGAATCTACTCTATTAGGATCATAATTTTGTTATATTAGAAAACAGAAAGCAGAACTAAAGGGAGGGACATATCAGGTGAGATCAGGGAGGGTCCCAAATAGGGAACTTCCATTGACCTTGTGTGTGTTAGTGACAATATACAAAACAGGCCAACCAGTGGGCACTCATCTGAGCTCTGACGTTTTCAGGGATTTATCGGGGTTCATTATATAGGTGTGAATGTTTGGCTGATAAATGAAGGAACTCAGCTCTCAGCACCACTTCAGTGCTGGGGTGAGCATCTCATGGCTCAAAGGCTCAACATTTTAATCACAAGGTCAGGGTTTCTGGAATGGTGAGCTCCCACCATGAATCGTCTTGTTACCATGAACTATGAGAGAACTGAGCAGCATAAGGCTTCGTGGCCTACTGTGGTTAAACAGACTTCTCAATAGTTCCAGGAATTCCCAAGAATTAAAGTGGTAACCTCCCATGACCTGGGTATAAGTCCAGAGAAAGTCTTTCTTCGACAGGTCAGGAGTAAATGATGTGAATGCAGATGAAAATGAACAGGAGAATGTGCCCCATCAGCTTCCCAGGCTCCCCGACACTGCTTCACGACAGACACTGTGGCGTGCATGACACACATCCAATGCTAAACCCGCATGACACTAGTTCACTTCAATATCAGAGATAAGTAAAGCACAATTTAAATATATTATGTATATGAATGCTCTATCTGAATGTATGACTTTACACCAGAATAGGGCATCAGATCCTACTATAGGTGGTTGTAAGCCACCATGTGGTTGTTGGGAATTGAATTCAGGACCTTTGGAAGAGAGCCAGTGCTCTTAACCACTGAGCCATCTTTCCTGAAACTTTTAATATTTTATGCGTGTGCTGCAATGGTACCTCTTTTTTTTTTTTGGCCGATGGGACTAATGTTTCATTTTGAAACCCAGTAAGAAAACATCTCTTGAGTAAATAGTAAAGGAATTAGGTGTAAATGCTATGCTAGTTCCCAAGTGCTTACATACTCTTCTATAAAAGAACTGTTTCATTGCATTTGACTCATCTTCCTTTATATAGAGTATGCTTTCAACTGAAAACAGCTGGTTTGTTCAAGTGACTTTCAATGGCCCATAGAATAAGAATTACAGAACAATCTCCCTCATTAACATTGACATGAAAATACTCAAAAAATATAGGCCAAATAAATTCAAGAACATATCAGAAACATCATCCACCATGATCAACTTTATGGCTTCATCCCAGAAATGCAGGGATGCTGTAGGAAATCCTCCAACCTGTAGCCTTTAAGCTACCTGCCTATTTGGGTGTGGCCTCTTATACTATAAATGCCTATGTGAAACACTTGCTCACTCTCTCTTCTGGCTGCTCCCCTATCCACCCTTTCTTTATCCCAATCCTCCTGTTTCCCCAAGTCCCCCCTCCTTCCCTTCTACCTTTTCTCTCCCCATCTCCCCTTACCCCCATCCCACCCCACCCCCAAGATCCCAATTTTCTCCCCGGAAATTTGGTCTACTTCCCTTAGCCAAGAGGATAACTATATGTTTTTCCTTGGGTTCACCTTCTTACTTAGCTTCTTTAGGTTCACCTATTGTAGACTCCGTGACCCTTATTTATGGCTAGAAACCAATTATGAGCGAGTACATCCCATGTTCATCTTTTTGGGTCTGGGACACCTCACTCAGGATAGAGTTTTCTATTTCCATCCATTTGCATGCAAAATTCGTGAAGTCATTGTTTTTTACCGTAGCGTAGTACTCTAGTGTGTATATATTCCATACTTTCTTCATCCATTCTTCCATTGAAGGGCATCTAGGTTGTTTCCAGGATCTGGCTATTACAAATAATACTGCTATGAACATAGTTGAACAAATGCTTTTGTCATATGATAGAGCATCTCTTGGGTATATTCCCAGGAGTGGTATTGCTGGGTCCAGGGGTAGGTTGATCCCGAATTTCCTGAGAAACCGAAACACTGACTTCCACAGTGGTTGCACAAGATTGCATTCCCACCAGCAATGGATGAGGGTACCCCTTCCTCCACAGCCTCTCCAGCAAAGGTTATCCTTGGTGTTTTTGACTTTAGCCATTCTGACAGGTGTAAGATGATATCTCAAAGTTGTTTTGATTTGCATTTCCCTGATTGCTAAGGAAGTTGAGCACGACCTTAAGTGTCTTTTGGCCATTTGAACTTCTTCTGTTGAGAATTCTCTGTTCAGTTCAGTGCCCCAATTTTGAATTGGGTTAATTAGCATTTTAAAGTCTAGTTTCTTGAGTTCTCTATATATTTTGGAGATCAGACCTTTGTCTGTTGCGGGGTTGGTGAAGATCTTCTCCCAGTCAGTAGGTTGCCTTTGTGTCTTAGTGACAGTGTCCTTTGCTTTACAGAAGCTTCTTAGTTTAAGTAGGTCCCATTTATTCAATGTTGCCCTTAATGTCTGTGCTTCTGGGGTTATACATAGGAAGCGATCTCCTGTGCCCATCTGTTGTAGGGTATTTCCCACTTTCTCTTCTATCAGGTTCAGTGTGTTCGGGCTGATATTGAGGTCTTTAATCCATTTGGACTTGAGTTTTGTGCACGGTGATAGATATGGGTCTATTTTCATTCTTCTACAGGTTGACACCCAGTTGTGCCAGCACCATTTGTTGAAGATGCTTTCTTTCTTCCATTGTATACTTTTAGCTCCTTTATCGAAAATGAGGTGTTCATAGGTTTGTGGGATAAAATCCGGGTCTTCTATACGATTCCATTGGTCGACTTCTCTGTTTTTATGCCAGTACCACACTGTTTTCATTGCTGTAGCTCTGTAATAGAGTTTGAAGTCAGGGATGGTAATGCCTCCAGAAGATCCTTTATTGTATAGGATTGTTTTGGCTATCCTGGGTTTTTTGTTTTTCCATATAAAGTTGATTATTGTCCTCTCCAGTTCTGTGAAGAATTTTGATGGGATCTTGATGGGGATTGCATTGAATCTATAAATTGCCTTTGGTAGAATTGCCATTTTTACTATGTTGATCCTCCCAATCCAAGAGCAAGGGAGGTCCATCCATTTTTTGGTAACCTCTTCAATTTCGTTCTTCAATGCCTTAAAGTTCTTGTCAAATAGATCTTTCACTTCCTTGGTTAGATTTATCCCAAGATATTTTATGCTGTTTGTGGCTATCGTGAATGGTGAAGCTTCTCTGATTTCCCTCTCTGCTTCCATATCTTTTGTGTATAAGAGGGCGACTGATTTTTTGGAGTTGATCTTGTATCCTGCCAC